AAAGAGAAGAAAACAAATAATCAATCAAAAATAAACAAATCTAAGAGGTAATTTGTATTGATTTGTCTGTTATTTTTTTACATAAACATCATGCTAAATAAATTTTTAAAAACTAGAGTGACTGCTGAAAACACTGAAGTTCGTCAGAGTAAAAGAATAAAAGATAAAGATAAAAAATATACAGAAACAATAATTATCATTTTTGATGATTGTTAATTATTTATTTATAAAGGAATTTTTACAAGAAGTTTTTTAGTTAAATATTAATTTCCTGTCCTTTTCAAGAAATTATGCGAAAAAAGCCAAGGGACAGGTGCGGCACAGTAAACCTGTCCCCTGTCCTTTTCAATCTTTTACTCGGAAAACTCGAAAAGGACAGGGGACAGTATGCCTTGTCCCACTTCTGCGCCACAACTGTCCCAAGGTTTTCCCTGTCCTTTTTCATATTTTCATGTAGGTCAACTGTCCCAAGCCCTGTCCTTTTGCAGATTTAGTGGGTAAATATTGAAAAGGACAGGGGACAGGGAACCAGCCACTTACAACTGTGTCCCCTGTCCTTTTCATGTGACTCATTAAAATAATAATAAAATGATGGCAAATGCAAGTTCATTCATAAGATACCATTGACTTTGACCCTATGACTTCTTTTTTGATTGTTTTGATCGTTTCTCCTTAGCTTTCCTCTGTCAAATTTTTTGATATCTTGCCATTCTTTCAGGTGCAAGATGAATCCGAAGGAGAATTCAGATAACATTACATAAACTTTTTTTATATATGTCTCTATTCCATATGTTAATTGATGATGTATAAAATTCTTTTAAAGTTGCTTGACGGATTGCATGATTACTTGTTGCATTAGCAATTGTTGAAGGTACAACTTTTTTCAAATTAATCTCATTCCTAATTTGCTCGAAAAAAATAAAAATGAAAGTTGATGCACAAACCCATATAACAATTATAGTATCCACATATTACAAATCTTAAAAATAAATTTGAGTAATATTTCTACTTATGCAGACTCTTTTTGCACTGTTTTCCCAATACAACCATAAAATAAGTTTTCAAAATGAGAAAAAGAGAAGAACCCAGCATCAATCAAGGCTGTCACATTCTTACAAATTGATGCTATATTGACTATGGATTTATTTTCTCCAAAATTATATCCCTGTGGAAAAACTAAAGCTCCGAACGAGCCGAGCTGAGCCGAGTTTATACTCAGCTCGAGTTCGAGCCAGCTTGCATACAGAAAAGTGTTGGCTCGAACTCGGCTCGAGCTCGAAAACTCGAGCCGAGCTCGAGCCAGCTCGAAATTTGATACTATTTTTTTATAAAATAATAATCGGTAACTAAAAAATT